ATGTGGATGAGTGCACCTTGGGACAAAGAACATGGGCACGGGTAGCCACGCTCGGAAGATATCAATGGAAAAAAAGACAATCAGTGGCCAAACAAGAAAGAGGACAATGGTTTTCAAGTACTCAGATCCCTGAGAATAGAATCGATGTGCAGGTTTAAATCCCTACAGACCTCTGACAGGCAGTAAGTATGGGTCCATTTGGGGTAATTCATAATTGCTTCAGGACAGCAAAAGTGCATCTTTAAGCAGGGCTATACTTCCAGTAATTCAGACTGGCCTTGTCTCCTTCCTGCCTGTCTAGTGGGGTCTAACCAATGTCACCAAGATTGGCTGGAATGGGGTGGCAATATCACATGCTGTTTTCACTGGGGTCCTCCCTTGGCCAAATGGGGATAGAGCTAAGCTTGACTCCAGCAGCCCCATCCACTGATCTGGTCCTAATTTCTTTTGCCCTTGAATCTCCAGTGATTTATTTCTCTTACCTGTAAGAAAAACGATCTTTTCTACCAAAGTATATGTCACCCTGTTAGATTACTTAAAATTCCTCAGGTCACCATCTTAGGTGACTTGCATTGTTTAAAGGGTTTCTGTTTCTTCTTCTGATTCTTGTACAACTCCATTACCCTCAAAAATTACCCACCAAATTGTGTGCCCTAACCCATCCCGCAAGCCTTTTTGCCAATTGAGAAAGACTGTGAGCCTTTGACCTGGACAAATCCCAGGTGAGAGGCAGGTACAACTGTGTCAGGGATATAGGAAAAACCACTCTTAACCATTTTGTGCTCACATGTCTGCTCAGCTGGAGTGAATACGTGCTTGCACCCTTTAGATCAAAAGAAATTGCCTTGTCAAGATTTTCTCTGCCTCTCGTGTGTCTGTTTTTGGCACTAGAGGGTCTTTAATTCCAATATACCCCACCATTCTCCAGCTCATTACTAGGAAACAAAGCCTTTCCAGTCATGTACATGTGTGTATAAGCAACAATCAATAGTTTGACCTCTCTCAGGACTACTAGGACTTTAAATTAAACACAAGGCTCTGTCCTGCCCATCTCACTAGCCCCAAAAGGTACTCAGGTAACAGAGCAAGTGGGACTCCCTGAAATAAAGCAACAACCTTCTCTGAAACTCTCACCCACACACTGCCTTGCCAACTCATTTTTTTTTCTCAAGTCTAACTTTTGCTGGCATTCAACCATTACCTTCTTCTATGATGGAGAAATTTCTTGTATCCTTTCATCCATTTATTCAATCAATAAACTTTCCTTGAGCACCCACTCTGGGATATATGGCTATACAAGGATGACCTAGGCCTTGCCCTCAAGAAGTTTGCAGTGAATTTTAACCCAGGAAAACAACTTCACCATGAGATTTTTTAACACAAGAAAAAGTGTAGCTCAGAGGCTGATACAAAGTACTCAGTAAACACGGCTTCCCTTTTAGTACATGGACACTGCAGCGGAACACTGGAAATTTTCAAAAAACCCTTTCCAGGTGGACCAAGGCGCCAACAGAGTGGGTGGAGATGGTGGTTTCTCTCTTGCTTTGGAATGTTGTGATTTGTTTTGGACGTTCCCAATGTCAGGTTGGAGATGTGTACAAAGGAGAGGGGCTATTCTAACCAGATCAGGCAAGAGATGGAAAACTCAGGAGTGGGGGCTGTCGAGACTCAGGGAGTGGGGAGAGAAGTGGGGGTTAGGCACCGAATCCAGCCCCAGGGGCCTAAGCATCACCATAGCAACGAGGAAGGGTAATTTGTGGCAGTTCCACACCGACACAAACCTCCTGGGCTTAGCAGCGGATGGGCTCAGATGTGTTAGGGCCATGTTCTGAAGAAAAATATCTCAACTGGGTTTTTTTGACAAATTTCCCACCCCCTCCTGGCTTTGTAGGCAATCAGTGTTTAGTGGAATGAATTAATCAGAATGACACTGGATCACAGTCCCTGTTCCATCTCTCTCTCTCATCTATACACGTACTTATCCATAACCCCACACAGTGAATCTGTTCCCTTAGTGGAGGAAATATAGTTCAAAGGATTCTGGGCTCTTCCCAGCAGGCCCCTCACCTGTCAGAGGCCCACTTGCCATCTCTCCCAAAACTGTACTCCTGAAAATGGCAATGGTAACAGAGGGCTAAGGGGGTTACAAGACAGCAAGGGCCCCAATGTGAGGTGGCTCCACCTGATCCTGTCTGGTCTCCTTTGCCATCAGCTGTCTGGGGAAGCCATTGCCTTGTGGACATTTTGGCCAGTAAGAAACTGCTTCCTTCTCCATGGAGGGAGTGATAGGGCGTGCCTCATGAGCTTTCTGAGTCCCCACGTCCAGCCTCTCAAGCTGGCCCTAATCAGCAGCTGCTGGACCTGTGAGATCTGCCTTAGATTTAGGGTCAGTACTAAGAATAACTGAGAGGGGTATGAGGAGAAGGGAGAATGGTGGAGGGGGCAAATCTAACTAAGATATATTGTAAGCACATATGTAAATAATACAATATAACCCCTGTACAACTATTATATGCTAATAAAAGTCTCAAATGAAAGAAAAAAGAAGAGCTGAGTCTCATTTTGGGTTGCTTCCTTCCTGTCTCTCCATTCCCAGGCATCGAGGTCTCACACTACCTTCAGTTCCCATACAGGGCTGATACACCCATTCAACAAAAGTAAACACAGCATCTAAGAGACTCATTTATGAAAATGTTTCCATGTCTTTTAAAACCAGAAGGGAAAAAAATGAACTTTGAGTAAAGAAAATGTTTTTCCGCATTTACCAATGCAGTCATAAAATAGCTCTCTAAGTGCTTTGTTTTTGAACGTGGCGATGAGGACAGTGCAACTCTGGACCTTGCCCTGGCTCGGCAGGTGCTCTACCACTTGTGCCACGTTCCCAGGCTTTTTGCTTTGAATATTTTTCAGATAGGGTATCACATTTTTTGTCCAGGCAGGCCTGAACCATGATCTTATTTACGCTTCCCATGTAGGTGGGATAACTGGCACACAGCACCACATCCAGGTTTATTGGCTGAGATGGGGTCTCCCTTTTTTTTTTGCCCAGGCTGGCTTTGAACAGCGATCCTGATCTTTGCCTCCTGAGTAGTGGTATGGGTCATTTTTTACATATGCAGGGGGAAATGCAGAGGCAAAATTGCCCAGGGCTTGCAGAAGTCACAATGCAGCACTTCCCTAATCTTCCTTCCTGACCACTCAGCCCCTCCAGCTGCAAGGTTTTCCTTCCCCCCACATCAACACACCTGCCTAAGGACCTTCCACTAGGCCTGGAGCTCCTAAAGGGCAGGATCTTCCTTTGCTTATCCTCATATCCCCACAGTCACATCAGGTACTACAGTATTACTTTCCTCGGGGGGAGTGGCAAAAGATAGGAAAAAAAGATAGTGTGAGGTATGACATAAATTTCGCCTGAATGAAAGACACCCATTCCTCCAACTCTACTCTCCAGCAGCAAGCTAACGCAGCAGCAGAGAGGAGCCAACGCAGGGATTCTTAAGCCGAGCCGTATGGCCAGAGCCTGGAGGAACTGAGCACACCTGCAAACTGCACAAAACTCCCTAGCTCTGCAGTCCTTGTCTGCATGCCCTTCATGAACTGCACTGAAACTGCTCTGCCCACTTCTCCAACAATCTCTAACACAGCAAACCCAGCAGGCATGTCGCACAGTCTGAACTTCTCAGCAGTGTTTGACATGGACCACCCAGCTGGACACTTTGCTTAGTTTCCTCCTGTTTCTCTGGACACTTCTGCTGATTCCTTTGCAGTCTTTCTGCCATTAAAAACAAGTACTACTACTACTACTACTAACAATGATGATCGCGACGAAGATAATGATAATCAGAATATAATAATGACAACAGCTCATCCGTATCTATTTGCTCTGTGCTGGGCAATAATGGTTCAGTTCTTTAATCCTCAAAATCATCCTAAATCATTCTCCCACCAGCAGCCAGTGATTTTTCCAAAAACCAAATCTCATCTTCCTTGCTTAAAACATAATGGCTTTCCCTTGTCCGTAACTTTGTTTGTATGGGTGTATGTGGTACTGGGGTTTGAACTCAGGATCTACACCTTCAGCCACTCCACCAACCATTTTGTGGCCAGTTTTTTTGAGATAGGGTCTCATGAATTATTTGCCCGGGCTGGTTTTGAACTGTGATCCTCCCAATCTCTGCCTCCTGAGTAACTAGGATTACAGGCATGAGCCACCAGTGCCTGGCTATCCATAGCTTTCAAGGTTTTTGAAGATGTGGTTCCTGCCCACCCCTCCAGTCCAATTTCTCACTTGCCTCTTTCTTCATGACCCTTCTACTTTAAACTTTTTCAATAATTCTAGGACTTTGCATGTACTGTTCCTACTGCCTGAAACACTTTCTCCCTCTCAGCCTAAAATGATTCCTGTTTGAAGCTTCAATTGAATGTCACCTTTTTTTTTTTTTTTTTTGGAGTGTGAGGTTATAAGGGGGCAGTGAGGTTGAGACAGACAGTAAAACCAGTTTGCCAGGTCCAACTCACAGTTCTGCCACTTCTTATCTGTAGAACCTTGGGCAAGCTATTGAACTGACACTTCAGTTCCTGGTCTCTTAAAGTGGCCAAGGCCTGTTGTTAAGATGAAAGAAATGGGCACATGGAGGGCCTTGCTGTCAGCTTGGTATTTCCTGATCCCAGACCACATTAGGACTCTACACCAGGTGTCTCTTAATAACATGCAGTGCCAACCTCACTCCTGAAATGTTTGTTCATTTGCCCACCTTGCCAGACTGTCAACTCTGTGAGGCAGGGGCTTTGATTTTGATCCTGTTCATAGCTCATCCTTATGAGGCAATGACTAGAAGTCATTGGTGATACTCCAGCAAATGGGCACCTTGCACAAGGAAAGATGGTAAGCTTTTTAACAATAGGGCATACATAATCAACTCATGCTGACACTGAAAGCAGTCACAAAGACGACTTAGTAATTAAGAAAATAGCTTTATTATTTTTAAATGTTCCAATATTCAATGTAAAAACCGTGATAGTGGCTTTTGCACAACTTTACAAATTGTAGAAAAATTATTTTCCCCCTTCTTTTCAGAAATCTCACCCTCAAATCAGACAGGGTTCCACTGTAGCTGAAAGCCAGCAGGAAGGTGAAGCAGCAAATACAGCAACTATGTCTGGGTGACCAGAAGACTGTCCTACACATTAAAGCCCAGGCTGAGCCCCGAAGACTGTGATCCCCGAGAAAGGCTCAATCCATCCAGATCTGTAGCACACTGAGGCAGGCCTCTGTCGTGAAGGCCAGCAGTCCACCAAAGGCCTGCAGCATGGCACTTGTGGGTGGCAGGACACAATCAAGGCAGCTTTGTGAGAATGAGGACAGGAGCAAGCCTGCCACTCAGAACCCTCTAAACACAGCAAGGAACGAGGCTGTGGATCCTGGCCAAATGGTGCTCTAGGTTTAGAAATTTCCCTTCTACTCAGCTCACAATGACTAATTTGTCAAACAGCTATTTAAAAAAAATCAGAAAACACATTCGGTTCTATAATCAGCAGTTGATAATTTTTAGAAAAAGATGACTTGAGTTGCTCATTGTTAAGTCTGTACTTTTTTTCTTACAGGCCTCTGATTCCTTCCTTTCTCTTGCCTGGTTTGAGGGGAGGGAGATATAGCTGGAGCCAAAGGCTGTTTGTTGGTCTGAGGAAACTGTTAAAAATGTTTTGCACTCACATACAAAGGTTGATGGACTCTCACTGACTTTTATGAGAAACATGACCGACCCTGTTGGGTGTCTCAAGTCAAAACAAGGCAACCGCCTAGTGATTTATAGTCCCCACAACACAGCTCTGCCTTCCAGAAGGCATTAGAGAAAGGGGCAGCCTCTGCCAGGAGTGACTGTAAACACACCACTGACAGCTTGGACACTTTGTTTTGAAGTGCAGCAGGACTTTTTCCTTTGGCCTTGGCTGGAGTCAACTTCTTAGGACTTTAGGAAGGAGCAGATGGAAGGGCTCCCCAGAAACCTGCAAGTGAGGGTCAAGGGTCCCCACTGACTGGACTGTAGCTGGGATCATCATCAAAGGCAATCAGTTCACTTATGGCATACAAATCGTCCTGTGGTCCCCCACCTCATCCCCAGGCTTGGCCTGGCTGGACATGAGGCACACGTGGTAGAGAACAAGCTATCCTAAGGCACATGGCTGAGGTGGCCCCCACACCAGGCCCAGAAAGATTATCTCTTTGCACGATTCCAAAAGTGTTGGAAAGCAGAGGAGTTGATGACACTCATTATGAATAGCAACAGCAGATAGAGGGACATCATGACCAGGAACCAATGGCTGGAAAACCAGGAGAGCTGGCTCGAAGCCCTGCTGAAGTGAAAAAAAGTCATGTTGGTAACAAAAGAAAAACATTTCTTTAAGTGTATGCAACAAGTTCTGGCTCAAAGAGGATGAAATGATGAATTTCATCCTCTGCGTGAGCCATGAAGTAAAGTTTTGTGCTCCTCTACTAGAGAGATGTGGAGCTGTCTGTCCCAGCACTGATGTACCTTTCAACAGAACTTTTTCTAAATGCACAAAGACAGCAATGCAATGAGCTCATCTTGATCTTCCCTTCCATAGTTCCTCTTTTACCTTTTATAACTCATCTTTTTTTAGGCAAGACTTGGGTATCTAAAAAAATAATCTAGCTCAGGGTGTCTGCCCAGATGGTGGCCGGTTGTTTAGCAAAAGTCTTTTCACTTTAAGACATGTACAGATGTAAATCTGAGCTAGGGAAATCCTCTTTGGCCTATTGGGAAAAGTTCTAAGCCATCCAAGAGTGCACTAATGACACACTCCAGGGAGAAGTGGGAAAGGACTGGAATTTTCAAGTACAAAAAGCCAGATACTTTTTAAAGCAAGTGAAAACGTCCCCCAGACTCAGGAACCCTGTACAGATTCCCAAATGTGAGTGAGGGTGGGCTTTAGTGGTTTATGAAATTTCGAAGCATGGAAACCACTGGTAGTACAAGAAGGAATGAGATCATTATAAGTGTCCCTTTTCCTCTCATACCTGCTTGCCTGCTGCTGACCTGTACCACAGGCTCTACCAAAGACTTCAACAATGTGACAAGATCTCAATGTGACCCCCAACGTGAGATAGGACTAGGCACACAGGTCAGTTCTTCAGAGCTGAAGGCCCTCACTTGCTGCTGGGTTTGACACTCATTTTGTTTGTTTCTATCTTTTCTATCTTTTGTGGTACTAGGAATCAAACCCAGGGTCTCATGTATGCTGGGCAAGTGCTCTACCACTGAGCTATGCCCCTCAGCTTCAACATTCTCATTTAGAAATAAAGATGAACCATTTCAGGTCTACAGAGGGGCAGGCACTGGTTCAAGAGCATGATGGAAGGGACTGGGTGGCTGCACACATGAGCTAGTGTACAGATACCACCCTGCCTCTTGGCTTAATCTCATCAGTGGGTTTCGGTGGGTTTCAATCTGGGCCTGGTGGCTAAGTTGCTACCAATTTGACTTCATGCAAAGACTTGTGTTTACAGATCTTTCTATCCTTTTCACTAAAATATACCGAGAGTATATTTTAAGATACTTAAGAGCCAGGTCATGCCTTCTCTGACTCCTCACCCCTCCCCATCTCCAGCCTACTGATTTATATACTTTACACACAGTGGAGGCCTAAGGCTGGGGGGAAGTGGTGCTGATAAGGAAGATACCAGTGCTCTGGACTCAGCCTCTAGTACTCCTGACCTCCAGGCAGGGACCATCCTTCTTACCTCTTGGGCTGCTTCTGCGAATACACCAGCAGATACTTCACTCGCAGGAGCTGGTTATTGGTAACCACAAAGTACTTAGGAGGGATATCTCCCCCTTCGCTATGTTTGATTCTCGCTCTTCTGCGGTCTATCTCCTTGGAATCTGAATGAGGAGAGTAAAGCACATCTTCATTACGAGGGAAACACACAACTATAGAAGCAAATTAGGAAAAGAAATGAGTCAGGCATCCTGGTCCTGAGGTGCAGAAACCCTAGCAAGCTGGGGAAATGGCCCTGTGTATGCATGTGAAACAAAACTGAAAACAGGAGAATCTGGCAGGCGGACAGATGGGAGGGAAGCAAGGAACAGGAAGCCATAAGTGATCCAAAGAAGAACAGAGTTCAAATGAGTAGAAAAAGCAGAGGGAGGAAGCAAACTGATGACCATAACAGCAACAAAAATACTGCAGGGCAAGGTGCGGTGGTATGCGCCTACAATCCCAGCTGCTTAGGAAGTGGAGGTGGGGAGGATCTCAGTTTGAGGCTACTCTAGGCAAAAAGCTAGTGAGACCACATCTCAACAAGCTGGGCATGATGGTTCACGCTTGTCATCCCTGTTATTTAGGGGCATAGGTATAAGGATTGGGTTCAAGGGTGGCCCCTGGCAAAAAATAACTAAAACAAAACAAAGAGCTAGGAGTGTGGCTCAAGTGGTAGTGGGCCTGCCTCGCAAGTGCAAGGCCCTGAGTTCAAACTCCAGCACCACAAAAATAATAATAATAATAATACTCTACCACTGGAAGAGGACTTGATCGGAACGAGGCCCTTAGGAGGTACTTTGAACAGCCATGTAGATTTGAGTGTCTCAGAACACTTATCTTCTACCCCTACTACCAAGGCTTCTTTAAAAACAGAAAAACTTTCTCCTTTAGTAACATGAAAAGGCTTTTCCAAAAAAGAAAAAAAAGAAAACGCCAAAGCTGCATGCCAGCACAGGGTTTTGTTTTAATGTCAGTTTGCAAACTTCCTAAGAACTACAGATGCAAATATTCATATGTCTAGTTTGGAACGGTGTTGTCAGACCTGGGCCGGTTCCTCAGGACCCAGTTGTTTTAATTAGAGGCCAGAACAGTCCGTTTTCTGTATTCTCCTTTGCTTAGAAAAGCCGACAGTCCAATGACTCTTCTGCCTTGGAGAAGGCAACACAGGAGGCATAGGGTGAGTAGTCTGAGGGACATATCGAGTGGACAGATAGTCGTCCACTCTGTGGAGAGCTAGGATTTACTCTCCAGACCTCAGATGCTCTGCTCATTCTCTGAGGGCTCCAGCACACAGCAGAGTGACTCAGAGGGTCTGGACCAGTGTCCTCAGCTTTAGTTTGGCAAAAACTTGGTAAATGTCAATTATATACCAGGCTCTCTGCTAACGCCAGGTGCCCGAGAATAAGACCTGGTTCCAACAAACTCATGCTCCTCTCACACTTTTTTTTTAGTATAAGGGTTTGAACTCAGGGCCTTGTGCTTGCAAGTAGGTGCTTGCAAGTAGGTGCTTTACCACTTGAGCCATGCCCTCAGCCCTTTTTGCTCTAGTTATTCTACTTATTTTTCAAGTAAATTCTCTTATTAATGCCCAGGTGGACCTGGACTACAATTCTCTTATTTCCACTGAGATGGCAGGTGCATATCACCATGCCCAGTTTTTTATCGGTTAAGATGGGATCTCTTGAACTTTTAGCCAGAGCTGGCCTTGAACCTCAGTCCTCCTGATTTCCACCTTCTTGAGTAGCTGGGATTATAGGTGTAAGCCACTGCACCTGCTTCACAAACTTGCTTTTCATTTGTCAGATCTTGTCTCCTTCCCAAAGCTTTCCCTGACCACTAGACCCACCATGATTGCTCCATCCTCTGAGCTGTCCCATGACCTTGTCAGCCCCCTCACCTGGCACTGCCTGCCTACTACCTAGAGTAAGTGACCTTTTCCACTGTTTGTTCAATTCCTACAAGGACTTTTCCCTCCTTAAAAGCAGGTCCCTGTCCTGTATTGCTCCACCCCCACTCATCCCTTAAGCATGCAATGGACCTCCCCACGCACACATACAGCCAGGCAATGACCAGAGCCTGCAGCCAGATCTAGGCCAAATGCTCACTCACCCTTCTTCTTGGTTTGGCACTTGACATCTGGATGGTCAATGACCTCACATACAGCCACACAGCTAAGGATGGGGCCAAGGAGGCTGTGCTGCCACCCATGCCCATGGGGGCTATAAATGAGGGCCAGACTCAAGTCACTCGTGAGGTAGGTCCCCTCTCCAAACAAGGACGTCTGGAATGGTAGAAGCCAACAGACAAGAAGTACAAGAATTGGCACCATGATACAACACAGGTCATTCTTCAACAAAGTTACAAACATAAAAATTTCAAGCCTCTTTTTTTCCTGTAAGACAATAGGATCAAATAACCTGTGACATCATTTACAAGCTTATTACTAAATACATTCCCATCTGATAAGTTTAAGTAACCGTGGCTTTGGCCACTTAGTCTTGTGACCAATACTTTGTAGTCAAGGTTGAGTGAAAAAAACACAGATATCAGAGTCCAAACAGTTCAGTTTAAAGGTTCCAACAACCTGGCAACTTATATAACTCTCTGTGTCTCAGTTTCTATACCTACAAAATGTTGATAACAGCGTCGTCTCCCTAAAGCTTGGGTAAGGACTAAATTATACAGTGCACAGAAAAGAGAGCAGGGCACCTGGCACATGATGTAGTGGAGGCCTCCATCGCGGGCTCTGCTGCTGCAGCGTACGCAGCGATTCCTGTTATACGAGTGCATTAATGCATGGTTACGCGGATGGGTTTGCAAAAGCAAAGTCACATCCTGATATACAGGGAGGGAGGTCACACCTGCCAGGAGGGTAATCTGAGTCATTATCTGGAAAAAAATGAGTCTCTAAGACCAGAAACTATAACCAAATAAGGGAAGCAGACATGAAGGAAGGGTAAACTTTATTCTCTGTTTTGGTATTGGCTAAGAAAATGTCTGAAAATCAGGCTAGGGATATAGTTCAGTGGTACAGCACTTGCCTAGCATATGCAAGACCCTGGGTTTGATTCCCCAGCACCACAAGAAATCAGAAAATGACCAAAAATCCAAGGGGCAGCTACCTGGTGACGGGTATGCTAAATTGGAACCCTCCATAAGGAAGCATGTTGGTGAAGTACCTGCGAATGGAGGCTACAGCAGGCATGGCTAACACAGCCTCTGCCTAATGGTAGGCATAGGTTAACAACCATGATGGCTGACATACAGTAGCAATCGGACTGACTCATAACACTCCAGTGGCTGCGACCAATGGATGGACTTTGTCACTCTATGTGAAACTCAATTGCTCTCTGTGGGCCCCAGTATCAATGTCTTCAGATGATAAGTGGACTTGAAGAGCTCACTAAAGAACATCCTGTGCTCTGGAATAGAGAAATGTCCTATTCAGTAGCACCAGGCTGCCATGACTCCAGCCTGGTAAGGGAAGTGTAGGGGAAATGAAACGAACCTTTACTTGGTCTTTGGTACGCTCCTTAATAGGTCAGACAGGCTCCCCATCTCTCAAAAGCTAACACAGATCTTCTCAAGGACAATGGACACATTCTGAACGGACCTGCATCAATTCTTCATTTACTCCTGCCATGTGTTCTCCCTTCCCAAGACTTGAAATCCTCATGCAAGGCTGCCATGAGCATAGTGCAGGAGAGTGAGAAGCTTGGGGTTCTACATCATGAAACAATCTTCCAGTTTCCACTGGCACATGGGCTTCCTCACAAGCTGCTCACCAAAAACCCAAGCATAGAAGGCCAGAGATGGACTCCATTTACCTAAAAACTCTTAGGTACCACCAAGCAGCAAACTCCTGGGCACTGAAATGAGGTTTTGGTGTAGACCATAACCTTCAGGCAACTTCTCCAGGCCAGCTCCAGGGTAAAGCAGAGGCCCTGGATTCCAACAGCCTGGCCATAACAATAAGCTAAGAGTCAGGATGAACAAGCCCATCATCCTCAGCAAAGCCACCAGCACTGATCAGATGCAGCAGGGCTGGGACACATCTCTACAGCTCCAGGGCTGCATCAGCCCCAACTGAGCCCATGCTGCAGGAACCAGCCTCTCACAGACAAGGTGGATACCGCCATGACTGGACACCTCCCGTGGCCCTCTGACTACCCCAAAAGCCCTCTTTGCTGGCCTGTAAGAGCAGCTACCACTTCCTTGGTACTCAGTACATGAATGGTTTTAATCCTCTCAGGTGCTAGAAAGAGGGTAACAGAGTACTGTGCTACAGATGAGGAAACTGAGGCTCAGAGAGTTTGAGTCAATTTGCCAAGGGCCACAACGCTGCCCAAGTTTGTTAATCTCCAGAGTCTGTCTATGATCTTTTGCCTACCCCTTCCTGAAGGGTAGATTAAGTGCCAATAGAGAAGGGGTGGCCTCCCAAATGGGAGGAAAGCAGCTCAGGAGAGAAGGAAAGGACTTCTTGGTGCATCTTGGCACACTCTTCAATTTCTCCCAGGGCTGATATTATTAGAATGTTCCCTAGAGACAGATGGATCAAAGATTCATTTTCTCAGGCTCCCAGGTGATGCTGCACACTCTGTGTGCCCAGGCCTTAATTAAATCCACCTGCCCACACTCCACTGCCCAACAACCAGGGTTCTGGCATGCACCCCAATGCTCCCCTGTGTCCACAGAGTGCCCTCGAGCTCACCTTGTTCAGGTGGCAGTGCAGGCCGTTGTGGATGATGGAATGGAAGTTTTCCAGGCGGCTACCATGGAAGGCGTAAATAAGGTCTCTTTCTCCTTTGGTCTCATAAAATTTAGCGTTGACTGGGTCGAAGTACTCGATTTCAAATAGGAAGTCCGGGGTGGGGACAGGCGTATGAGGGGCACCAGTCAGCTGCTGGATCTTTTCAAACTTGAAAACATGAAGGGAGTTGAAATTTTATTTGGGAATCTGGTAAAATATATTACAAAAATGGACTCCTAAGCCAAGGCTTTAGCTTGCCTCCAATGGGCTCTGCTCATCAGAACATCCGTTTCACGAGGCTAGAGATACTCATTTATAAGCAAGCTCAGCGCACACAGCTCAAGCAAAGCTTTTCTCAAATAACATTTCCCACAGTAGGCTGAAAAGCATGAGTTGCTCCTTAACCAGAGATCACGTCTAATGTTAACACTTGCCTATCTTCTTTCCATGCTCCAACTTTACAATGATCTCCCGAGGCAGAAAGGGGTGATAAGTTGCAAAAACCAGCCATAAAAGTTTTCTTCTCCCCTTGGTCTGTGCAGCCCTCTGCAATGTGACTTTGCAGGTGGGACTCCTCCAAGATTCCATAGAGACAGAGTCTATTTCTTTACTCTTTGAAGCTGAGCATGGCATATGATTTGATTTGACCCACGGGACCTCAACATATATATGGCACAGACTTGTAAAGGGCTTGTCCTTCTTTGTTTGCTGCTGGGAACCCACCACTCTTGTCTGGGCTAGTCTGCTATACTATAAGGGTGAGAGTCTCATAAAAGAAGGCCCTAACCATGATAGCCATCACAACTAAAGCCCCAGAAATGTAGGAAAGATTACCATGCAGAAGAACCACTTAGCCAATCCACAGTCTCATGAGACGCAATCAGTGCTTCTCATTTTGTGGTTTAAAGTCAGCAAATTTGGGGATTGGTTTATTATTCAGCAAAGGCTATTTGATACAGAGGGTAAGCTCCTTCCTCGAGAGTATTAATACTTTTCAGGGCACAGTCTACATCATTTCAGTGGTTTTCAAATAGTAGATCACAGATCAAAGCCAGTTTATAGCAAAGTTTTCTTCTGGGTTGTAACTGAACGAAAGAAGTAAGAGTGATGTAACAGATACATTTATACTGACATAGGTTGCCAAGACCCATCCTATGGAAGAAATGTCCTATCTGCTTAGGTTAGGACCATTCTCCTTCTCAAGTATTAAAATACCTTTTATTAAGTATTGATATTCTGGTTAGCTAATATTCTTATTTGGGCAAAATAAAAAATGATACTCCTGTGTCCCAACATCTCACATTTTAATAAAAATTTAACTGGTTCACAATCAAAAGTCAAGGAGCCATCGTGTTGTCTGTTATAGCAGGAATATTTGCCATCTAATAGGTGCCTGTGACAATATAAAGTATGACTAAATGAAAATATCTCAGTTCAGCAGATAACAAAAGTGAAACCTGATTTCCTCCAGGGCTCCTTATGGTATTTTACCATCCAACACAGATGAATGTCCCACAATCCAAAATAGCAAATTCTGTGCCACTTCGGGAAGCTTGTAAAATTGAATGTTCTATATTGAAATTGGTTAATTAATTGAATACAGCACAGCTAACTACTCCCTGTTACTGCTCAAAGGAAAGACCACCAGACCAGAAATTAAGTTCGACACTTTGGACCTTGTCATTCCAGCCTGTCCCTGGGAGACCCTGGACATGCAAGGAACACCAAACAATGGAATGTCTGTTTGTGGGATTACTCCCTTTTTGTCATTGCCCCTCATTGAGGTAACTATGAATATTCTCACCTTACAGTGGGGAAAAGGAAATTCAGTGATTGATCGAAGTAAGATTTAAACACAGAGTCTGACATTTCCCACTGCTTTGGGCTCTGCCTATCTCTGTTTACTAACTAGATGAAGCCAATGTTTCTCTTTTTTTTTCTTTATATACACATTTATTTGGTACTGAAAATTAAAATCACGCCAGAAATTCACACCAAAAATTCCTTTTATGGCAACCCAAACATTTGAAAATGAAAAAATATAGCTATCTACCTGAATTATTACACTCTACCCCATACTCTTCTCACACACCTTCAGTTATATTTCATTTCACAGACTTTAGGCTTTTAAAACAAAGATTTGAGACCTATCGGTGCTTCTTTGGGTCAAATCAAAACACAGAACTAAAGTATTTTAAAGTCATTCATATGCAAATTACACAGTTCTCCTATAAGTTAATGATAGAGGTAGGAATATCCCTAGTGCACGCACGCACGAATACACACACAACACACACACACACACACACACAAAAGTGAAAGTAAAAGAGATACAAGAGAATCACGAGGTCATATCATATACATTGGCTATTCAAAATTAATGGTATATAGCTTTCAACATGCTGTATTAGATCACCAACAGGAAAACAGTGTAAGATTTATGTCTAAATTCAAACTCCCAAGTTGAAAGAAAGAAAGAAAAGATTTAAGCCTAAACGGACTCTACTCTCTGCATTAACCACTCCCTATTCTAGCATTCTAAGAAGGATCTCAGCTATGGTACACACGATGACTGTGGGTACATCTGAATGGCACACTGAATGTTTTACTCTGAACTCCTTTGATAGCATCGCTTAGTTTCTCTCTTCAAAGCTGGGAGTATCTGTTGCCCATGAGAGCTCTTAACTTGGCCAGGTGTTCTCTCTGTGTGGACAATAAGGTCTGGACCCCTCTCTGCCTGTAGGGAGTGTCACCTCTGGTCTCCTGTAGGAGGACCCTTTCGCTTCTGTCCAGCACTTGTGCTGGACCTTCTGGCAGGGGGAAGGGAACCTGGGAGGAGGGTTGAGAGTCAAGTTATGAAGGTCCAAGGGACCTTCTGGCAGAGCCCACTGACCCTCTTGGGAGATTTTCTTCGTAGGCCATCTGAAAAAACTCCAGGGTCAAAGTTGCGTTAAACATTAGTGATGGCTCCACTGGCAGTGTGCTGAAGCAAAATTACTCCAGAGTAGCCCAGAAAAAAATTAAAAATATAGTCCCGAAAAAGCCTAAAACTCCAAACTCCAGCAAATGTTGGTAAAATAAGGCAACCTAAAAATTTAAGCCTGGTTTGCTTTTAAACTACATCCTTTTTTAGTTTTTCTTTCTTGCTGGACATTGGTGGCTCACACCTGTAATCCTAGTTACTAAGGAGATAGAGATTAAGAGGAATGCAGTTCAAAGCCAGCCTGGCAAATAGTTTGCCTATCTCAAAAAAAAAAAAAAAATCACAAAAAAGGGCTGGTGAAGTGGCTCAAGAACTGAGTTCAAGTCCCAGTACTGAAAAAAAAAAAACAATTTTTTTTTTCTTGTAGTACTGGGGACAGACCCAAGGCCTTATGTATGCTAGGCAAGCACGCTCCCATTGAGCCACATCCCCAGATCTCAATGGCTCTTTAAGGTATGGACAGAGTCCTCCCTTATCAGAATTATCTGCAGTTCCTGTTAAATAAAGGGATATCCAACATTTGCTGAGTCCTTAGTAAGTGTCCTTAGGCATTGCTCTAAGTGTGAATTCATTCCCATGGCCAGTTCTCCAAATGGAAGTACACTATTATATCCATTTTACAGATGAGGAACGGAGATGCTGAAATGCACTTGCTCAAGGTCAAATGGCTGGTATAAGGCAGAACCTAGCTTCATTTTATTTTTTTGGTACTGGGGTTTGAACTCAAAGCACTCTAGCACTTGAGCCATGCCTCCAGTACAAGAACTCGGTTTTTACCTTGCCAGTAGGCAAGCTCCTGAGTCCTCCAGACACAGAATCAGAACTCCTGAGGATGAAGCCCAGGAATCTGAACTGTCAACAAGCTGCCCAGGTAACTTTAGCATAAGGTAAGTTCTCAGAGCCATTGGATTTGGAACTGTCCCAGAGTCTTCACCCTAGGAAATCTGTGATTCTACAAACCAACATTTCTCACCTCTGCCTTCCCGGTACTGTGGATTGTCAGGACCTTGGAGGATAAAATCCAGCTCACCAGGTCCCAGACCCGTTTGTCTTTGTCTCCAGAGGACTGGAGAAGTTCCTTCAGGTTAGGTAACCTTCGGGCATCTGCAAGCTGAAGTGAGGAAAACTCCATTAGCAAGGATCCTGAACAAAATGATCATCAGGGGCCCTCTACTGGTAAGGCAGGCAAATTTCACTCCTTCTACATAGAGGAACTTCCTAAGTGGAATATTCACAGGCCTTCAATATCCTTTCAAAATAATACCAAACACCCTAAGCGCTAACTCTAAAAGGTTTTGGCTTTTTTCTTTTTTTTTTTTCAAGTTTATACAAAATCTGGTATAAGCTTACATGAGGTTTCTTTAGTTTTCATGCTGTTATGATGGATATACTTTCTTACAGGAATGTCAATGTGTCGGCATGGGATGGCACCTGTGGCAGGTGTTATTGTAAATGGTACTTAAACATATGAGTACAGTTAGCAAAGTCTTTTCCCTTCAGCATGTGGCTGGTGCTTTTTTTTTTCCCCCTGTGGTACTGGGATTTGAACTCGGGGCTTCATACATGCAAGGCACGCACTCTACCACTTAAACCAAACCTCCAGTCTGGTGCTAATTTCTATGCCTTGTTTGCCACTGTTCCTGTCTCCTTTGCCCCAAGGCTGCATGCTCCCAGCCCCAGGTATTAGCATTACACAGGGACCATTAATTAAGCATCTACTCTGTGCCAGGCTCTGTGCTTAGGGGTGGGAGGCATTGGAGAGATTTAAAAAGAACCCCAACTCAAATAGCGAAGGTCAGAAAACTAAACAATTGTGACTTAAAAGTGTCAGCCATGAATGGTGGTGCATGCCCGTAATCCCGGCACTCAGGAGGCAGAGGCAGGAACATCAGAAATTCAAGAGCAGTCTGGGCTACACAGTGAGTTCAAGGCCTGTCCAAGGCCTCAGTGATAGAGTACTCGCGCACAATATCTTGGGTTCAATCTCCAGCACTGCAGAAATAAATTAAAATGTATTGTCATAACAAAAATAATACAAATCACTAAGGGACATGGGCAAGATTTTGGGGCCAGGGAGTTGGGTCAAGACCAGCTCCACAGAGGAGGTGCCATGAGACCTGGGTTTTCCTTGCAAAGGCACAGAAGCATAAAAACACAGCAAGTCATCAGGGAGTGGATGTGGCATGACTACGCAGGCTGTCAGTCATCCAAACCTTGGCTCTTATACCCCTGCTAGTTGCACGAACTTGAGCCTGTTTGATTCAAAAAGATGCAAGGGCATCTATTTCCTTAAACACCTTATGGGGATGATGTTAAACAATGTCACAGGATCCCACTGAAGGTTATTTACAATAAACAAGTGCTCAAGGACTCTAATGTTAGTGTGGCTGCCATTAACTGAAAGTGGTTCCCAGTGGCTGGAGCTTAGTGTGGGGGAGGGACATCATGAGGAGGAGTGAAAAGGTGACTTGAGATCAGCCTGTGAAGAGTCTTAGTATTGGAGGTAATACAGAGCCACCGAGGGTACCCTCAGGTGCTGTCTGGACCACACCTGGTCCAAAGAACACTCACCACCACTACCCTTGGCTGCCCAAAGCTTATCTCAATCTCCTCTTCCTTCTTTTCTATTCCAGTCCACTTGATATCCCACAACTACAGCTGAACCATTGTGATTACTGTCCCCATCCCCTTTGTCTTAAATCCCATCTGTGAGTCACAGCCCTTCCCTACAATCCAGACCTCTCAGAATGCCCAAGAAAAGGACAGTCAGCTACCCAGGCCTCTTTCAGGAACTCAGTCTGGGAAACGGGGAGAGAATGTTCCTGGCTCCAAGCTGGACCCAGACTCTGCTATGGGACAAGCCCTCTTCCAAGCCCTTCCCCCTGCCACCTGCCTAGTCAAGGACTTGTTGTGTTCTGCCCTCCTGCCCAAATCTGTCCACACCCTGTAACACCCCCTCACCTCCTTTATGTCCCATCTCACTTTTCATGTGACTGTGCTCCAGGTTAACACATTCTTCCCTGTTTACATTTTAGTAGGGCTGCCAGATAAAATACATTCTCCTGGTAAATATGAATTTCAGATAAACAATAAAAAAATTAGTATAATTATAACCCATGCAAGTATTTGCTTAAGAGACACTCAAATTTCTTTTGCTAAAAAGCACTGACTCCTCACTTGGGCCCACAATTAACTAAAAACAATAGAAGCTTGGCACACCTACATCCATTTTGTATGTCTTTGCTCTAAGTCATTCTCTTTGCAGTCACTTTGCAATCACCTTGGATTCCAGAAAGGACAGGGCAGACAACATCTTTATGACAAGGAACTGAAACTTCCTATAAGGAACAGTTGACCATGCAGGACAGACCACCCCTCCAAATGAGGACAATTACCTGCAGTGATGAGGCTGCACCCTGGAGCAGAAGCAGTCATCTCATGGGGACCAGACTACTCCTCTAAGTCCTGATGACAGTGATAACATCCCTGGAACTCCTCTGGGAACCCTTGGACTGAGATAATGGTCAACTAGAGCACACCTGTGACTGGAACTGTTTAACTATGCATACCTAGGTCCCCTACCCCCAGTTCTCTTGTCTACTTAAACCTATAGTTCATGTCCGTACCCGGAAGATGGCTGAAGATGAGCTGAGTGCTTACTCTACCTCTTCCCATGGCAAGTCCCGGCTGTGCAATAAACCTCCTTTCTCTGCCTTCACCAGGCCTCTTTATTTGGCATTTAGGGGCAGTGGCCAGACTTGGCATATGGAATCTCAGGAATTTGGGCCTTGGGTCCAAAACTTGGGTTTTGTTTGGGGCACACTTATACTAAGAAAATTACTTGTTGCTTACCTAAAATGTGAATTTGACTAGGCGGCCTATGTTTTTACTTGTTAAGTCTAGCATCTGTGTCCTTAGTAAGGTCCTTGGGAATCTGGTCTGGCCTCTCTGCTTAACAGCACCTCCAGCCTCCAGCCCCACCCCCCACCCTATGTCTTTCCTCCTCCATCTTCTGCAGCTGCCTAACGTGACCTTCTACTGAGTCTTCAAGGTCAGACTAAAGTCACCTTCCCTGATCACCCGCAACCTCTGGGCTCAACAATTTGGCAGAGTCCCATGATGGTACTTAACTTTCTGGGACACCTCAAATCTGGCTGGGACCAAACACACCTCAGTTTTCCTGGAACCCTTGCAGCCACCTTGAAACTGGCAGGAAATTCAGCACAAGGCAGTAATAGCTATGATTGTTAAAGCTTTTACTATGTGCCAGGCCCTGGGCTCAATGCTATGCATGTGTTAACTTATTTTATTCTCACAATAACCAATTTTAAAGGTTAGGAAACAGGCTTGGATCATGCAGCTAAGCGTCTCACCTAGGGTCATGCAGCTATTCGGTGGCAGGGCAGGGATATATGAAGCCAGGCAGCCTGACTCCAGAATCCATTTTCCTATCCATGATGTTCTCCTACCAAAAGAATGGAAAAATTTAGTGATGGCCTGACTATTTTAGCCTAGAGGAACAATCAGGCCAAACTTTAAGAGGCATGATGGAATTCCCCCTCTACTCCCCAGATAATATAACCAAGACAGCTACTAGCTGTGTCTAAGGCCTGTCAAAGGCAGGGAGAAAGATATTATGCGTAGTATGGAGTGTAGGAGGAGTTCTGAATCACAGCTCACAATGGAAACATTTACCAACACCTGGGTGTGGGAGAAAGGTCAGCACTAAGGAAGGAGGCTGAGGGAAGGGTTTGCAACAGCTCGGATGGGAATATGATGGGCACAGATATAGTAGGATAGATGATGTGATGGGGAGGATTGCGAGAGACAGAGCATGGCAGACAGGCCAAGTGAACAGGCAGGAGCCTAAAAGTGGGTCCCAGGCCCAAATACCCCCAAAGGCCCCAGAGGTGAAGAAAATAAGTAAGGGGCAGTCTGGGAGAGTGGTGAGGGCTATTGAACCAAGACTGCAATGTCTCAGACTTTTCTGGGATTGTTTTGTTTAATTCTGTTTTTGCAGTACTGGGGTTTGAACTCAGGGCCTACACCTCAAGCCACTCTGCCAGCCTATTTTTGTGACGGGTTCTTTTGAGATAGGGTCCTCTTGAACTATTTGCCCAGGCTGGCTTGGAACTGAGATCCTCCTGATAACTAACACAGAAAGGACTTGTGGTAAAGCACCTGCTTAGCAAGAGTGAGGCCCTGAGTTCAAACCCCAGTACCACCAAAATAAATAAATAAATAAATAAATAGGGAAGGGAAGGGGAGGCGAGAGGAGAGGAGGGGAGGAAAGGAAATCAGTTGGGCATGTGGTGCACACCTGTAATCCAACACTTGGGAAGCTGAGATAGGAAGATCTTGAGTCTGAGGGCAGCCAGCCTGGATGACAAAGCAAAGGGGGAAAGGGAGGGAGGGAGAAAAGGAGGAAGGGAGGAAAAGATGAAGAAAGGATGAAAGGGAGGGAGGGAAGGAGAGAAGGGTTTTTTGTTTTTGTTTTTTTTTTAATTTCCCAATTCCTAAAAAGCTAGAAGACAGCTGGTGGAGTAGCTCAAGCAGTAAGATCACCTGTCTAGCAAGCATAAGGCCCTGAGTTCAAACACCAGGGCCGCCAAAAAAAAAAAAAAAAAAAAAAAAAAAGCTAGTGAACAGTGGAGAGAAAGGACCAATGAGCTGTAAGGAGACAGTTCAACCTCCTGGCTTTGAGAAGATGACAGGGCAGCCGGGGAGACACTGTGCAGCCACCCAGATCCCAAGCATCTGGGAAGGAGACAAGGAGCCTATTCGCAATGTTGCCACAGGAGATTCTCATCACCCAGACAAGCTGGAGTTACTCAGGCAAAGATGACGGGCAATGTTGTCCTAGAAGGGTGTGGCAAGAGGAAAGGAAGAACATCTGAAAAAACATTTGTCTAGGAAAGTGTCAGAGGTCATAGTTACTAGATGTGGGTGGAGGTGCTGAGAAGGAAATGAAACAAAGGTCACCAGCCTCCAGGAACAAACAGTGACACCTAGAACAGTAAGATGAGCGGGAGGAGTGGAACTCAAGGGCTGCCAGATGAAGCCTGGGGAGGTAGCCTCACAAAAGGTCCCAAAAAGCAGTGGCCTGGAAGT